GGAACTTGGTGAAATGGAACTTGAGCCTGGCATAGGGGTGTATCTTGTTCAAAGGAGAGCTAATAGAAGGGAATAGGAAAAGGGCCTATCTGTCTGCAAAGATATGGAGATCCTACAAGACACTCCAGTGCATTTGGCCTGACTGTTGCAGGCCAGGGCAGGTGTGCGGGTGCAGGTGTGCATACTGCAAACAGCTAGGCAGACGTGAGATGTAGGGAATTTTCCTATTTCAGATTACAAAGCTGGAACAGAGGTGAGACAGACCACTGATGAGGGCTTCAGCTATCCTAGCACCTACCAGAAAGCTCATTACCTAAAACAAAGCAGCTGACAAATGGGCTAGACTTGAGGACCGTACATTCTTTTAAATGTAGAGAAAAGATGGGTAGGCACTTACGGCCTGTGACCCTAAAACGGGAGAAACTCAAGAGGGAATAGTCGGCTCTGCAAGATGAAATGAATCGTGACTAATCCCAGAGAAGTGGCAACAGGGACGGATCTAAAGGAGCTATTGTGTTTCTCATGACATGTTCTGTTTAGAAAAGGACGTGTACAAAGATAGAAGGAAGGGCACGGTACCAAGGACAAGCTGAGAAGAGTGACACATTTCTGTGAGAACTGTGCCCGACTTGAGCTGAGGCTTACAAAAAAATTGCTAAAGTTGGCAAGAAAAAAAAAAAACGGTGGTGGTAATTATTTTTAGTTATGATTAAAAAAGGCATGAGGCCCATTGCTTGGGGATCATGATAGCATGTTAACAGAAGACAGAGAAAGTAAGATGGCTCAAGTCTCGTTTCATGTCTAACCTCTCCATAAAAGCAAAATGGCTTTATAACCAGAAAGTTTTAAATCAGCATCATTAAAAGACCCCTGGGCGGCTGGGCGCAGTGGCTCACGCCTGTAATCCTAGCACTCTGGGAGGCCTAGGCGGGTGGATCATGAGCTCAAGAGATCAAGACCATCCTGGCCAACATGGTGAAACCCCGTCCCTACTGGAAAAAAAAAAAAAAAAAATTAGCCGGGCATGGTGGCGGGCACCTGTAGTTCCAGCTACTCAGGAGGCTGAGGCAGGAGAATTGCTTGAACCTGGGAGGTGGAGGTGGCAGTGGGCCAAGATTGTGCCACTGCACTCCAGCCTGGTGAGACCGAGACTCTGTCTCAAAAAAACAAACAAAACAAAACAAAACAAAACAAAACAAAAAGAGCCCTAGGCACTAAGGGCAGGGGCTGTGGTATGGCAATAAGAGTGGGTCCTCTCAGGCTCTTTCATCCAAATCTCCAGGCCCTGCAGGCTCACATCCCATGGCCCTGCACAAACCTCCAGAGAGGCAGAGCTAACATACTTAATCCCTGGGAAACCGCTGGAGACCAGGAGAGTTCCAAAAGATGCTTGTTAGCAAATGTCCCAATTTACCCAAGAGGGAAAGATACAGGTCCTCCTGTATGGGCTGGTAAGCCAGGCAAAAGTTTAGGCCATATAATAGTTTTTTAAGCCCTTCAAAAAGGAAGAGATGGGTTTTGAGAGTTGGCATGGGTTTGAGAGGAATAAGCCAGGCCAGTGACTCGACTGGCTTTCTCGCTTATAGGCTGCCTAAGGGGGCAGACTGGAGAAGGCTACAGTGTATCTTGAAGCCGATATACATCTTTATCTACTTAGACCCTTGACAACACAGGTGGCATGGTCACTGGGCTCAGGGATGCCTGAGAGTAGGCTTCGGCCATTCTGAGCCCCTTATAGTCTTGAGCCCAGCACATTCTCTGAAGCCACCATGCCACCGCCACATAGTGTTCCCATGCAGAGTCACCTTCCTCACACCCTTTGGCTGGCTGTCTGTTCTTCAAGACTCCGCTCAAACAGCACCTCCCCTTGGAAACTTTCTCTTCTGCTGAGTACGATTTAGAAGTTCCTTATCCACGCTGGCCAAGTACCCTGTAAACTCGGCTGTCACTATCGCAGTGTGCTTTCCCTGGGCTGCAACTGACAGTTTCCTTATCTGCCTCTCCCAATGCCTGCAAGCACCCAAATGGGATTGTATTTCCAAAGCCCAGCACAGTGCCAGGCACAGAGGGGACCCTCAAGACATGATGATTGCTTGCATGAGTTTTGCTTAGAGGCTCAAAGTCAACCTGAAAGAGGTTATCTCTAATTGTGTTCTGTGTGTTTCTCCAAGTCTAGACTTTTATCAGTGACTTGGAAGAATAATATACTTTCAGAGACCATAACATTGGGAGAAAAGGGTAAGTAGATGAGAGGCTCAAAGTTCAAGGTCTGATAATCTACAGACTGGTCATACAGCCTGAAAACATAGCTAACTTTTTTGTACAGGTTTATTATCTTGATTTTCCTGTGGTATGATAAAGGCATAGCTTTGTTTTTATTTTGTTCTTAGTTGAATACCAGAGACAGATCATCTGAGGCAATGCATCACAGATGAATATGTAGGTATTGATGGAAATACTGCATTAATGTACCATAGTCACTGCAATTTTGCACGGTGCTTGGACTTATGCATTACTAATGAAGGACAATACATGAATATCTCATGTAATGTCACTGACCATATTATATATTATAATGTAATAATTCATTTATTATACATGTTCATCTATGTTTCTGAACTTTATGGACATGGCATTAAAAGATAAATGATAACCAACAATGAAATTTTAATAGAAGTAATCATTCTTCTTTGAGAATAAAAAAAGTAATAAAGTTTTATATTAGGTCTCAAAAAAGGTCAACTAGATATCTACAGTATGAGGAATATCTGGCTTTATCCATCCATCCATCCATCCATCCATCCTGAGCGCTATGTGCTAAATACTAAACTAGGACCTACAAATTAAATGAAAAATAAACACTGCCTCCCCTGAGCTTATATCCTACTGGAGGGAAATGAACATAAGTAAGTAAACTAAATAACTGCAACTGCCGATGAGGGCCATGAGTAAAATAAAATAACATGTGATGGAGACAGGAGAGACTTTGGGATAAAGGGGTATGTAGACGTGTCTCCGGGGTTGCAGGAAGTTTATGTAAGGAAGAGCTGGGTGGCACCTGGCTGGCCGTCAGCTAGAAGTGAGTCAAGGATGTGCTGCAATTGTTAAAAAGTAACTGCAAGGCTGGGTCACATTAATAGAGGCAGAGTGGCGAGCAAAATCAAGGGCAGTGACAATCCTACTGCCTCTGTGGTGGTCGCACTGCTTCTAGACCACCTTCTGCAGTTGTACATGCTATACTTTTTTTTTTTTTTAATTGAGACGAAGTCTCGCTTGGTCGCCCAGGAAGGAGTGCAGTGGTGCCATCTCGGCTCACTCACTGCAAGCTCCACCTCAGCGGTTCAAGCGATTCTCCCATCTCAGCCTCCTGAGTAGCTGGGATTACAGGTGCGTGCCACCACGCCCAACTCATTTTTTGTATTGTTAGTAGAGACGGGGTTTCACCATGTTGGCCAGGATGATCTCAAACTCCAGACCTCGTGATCCTCCCTGCCTTGGCCTCCCAAAGTGCTGGGATTACAGGTGTGAGCCACCGTGCCTGTGGCGCGATCCGTGGCTCATGGCAACCTCTGCCTCCCGAGTAGCTGGGATTACAGGCATGCACTGCCAAATGCTATACTTTAGGAAAGTCATTGAGCAGATCCAGAAGAAGAGTCTAGGAACCACATCTTGTGAGGCAAGGTTGAGAGAATTAGGGAAGCTTAGTTTGCAGAAGGAGCGACCAGGCAGTCATCTTTAACATATCTGATGATTCAAGGTGCTTAGAGAAGAACGAGTCTATTCTGTGTTATCCTAGGAATTCAAATCTGAACGACTGAGAAGAAGCATCGCGTAATTTAAAACAGGAGAGACATTTCTAATAGAATTCCAGCTGTGCAGAAATGGAATGGGCTTTTGAAGAAGTGGGCACCCCATCCTCAGAAGTATTCAAACAGGGATTGGGTAAACAGCTGTTTAAAAGACGTCCTTAAGGATATTTCTTTGGGAATAGAGTAGAACTGTGTTTCCTTGGAAGATTTTCTCATCTTGGAATGACAAATCATCTTTAAAATGTTTGAGCCACAAGCAACAATAATGCCAAGTACTTTGGATCCTTCCTTCCTCCTAAGAGTTTCTGCTTCTTTGGAAGAATGGTCTCTTGAAGATAAAAGGAACTGATCCATCTTAAATTTTTTTTTAAAATTTTCATGATTTTAGGTTTGAATGCATGATTCATCTTTAGTCATGGGCTTCTCCTGTCACTGGGGCAGAGGCTGTCTTGCTGGGAGGCCTAAGCCTGAGCAGGAAGATGTGGACCTCCTGCCTTCCTGCCCTCAGTAACAGTGAGCTGATGGAGGGTGGGAATCCCTAAAGGCATATGCTGTGTGGTTAGAAGAAGTGACCTCCACTCACAAGGATTTCTGAGACCCAACATATGGGGATGAGGAACCATGTCAAGGCTAGTTCAGCATGTGACTAGAAACAATGGTACAATGCTTCTGCTCATCTTCCCTGCATTTGTGTGTGTGCGTGTGTATCTGCATGTGTGTAAGTAAAGCTCTCAACTTGCCGCCTTACAGTATCAGGTGACCCACACCTTAAGTCTTGGGTCAAAGGCTCAGTTGTATCTAGGAGTTCTGCAGAACTTTCTCATAAGGCATAAGGCCTCTCCCTTTCTCTGGAATGTGGGTTTATCACAGGCAGACAGGTGTTTCCCCTTCTGTTCCAATGCCCTTTTAAGGCTATGTCTGCACAAAAAGACTTTACTGAACCCTACAGTGTATACAGCCACTTTACTCAGTGTAATCATTTTATGATTGGGATTTGATAGTGTATCAATTCTGTCTCTACCTATATTTGGAATGGAAACTAAATCAAAACCCATTAAGATTAAGGTTTAAGGCAGTGGTAAACTTGAATCCCAGACCAACATGTTTTTCATCTATTTGCTTTGTGAAGAAAACACGTTTTTCAAAGTCCAGCGGAGAACATGGGATATAAGTTCAGTGAAACTCCCATACCTGAGCCACAGACAACAAAAACAAACAGTGCCAACAGCCATGGTCCCACAGGATATTTCTCCTCTTGCGGCCTCTAAAAGGGAATGGGAAAAAGTAAGATTAGGTTCATTGACTCAAGAAACATTTATTTGAGTATCACTAGGCATTGTGCTAGGTGCTAGGGATTCTACTGTGAATGAGACAGACTTGATTTCAATCCCTCAGTGAACAGATATAGATGGATGAAGTCCATTAAAAGGATTGAGATAGGTTTGCAAAAATTCATCAATAACCTTATTAACATCCCTGTAACTCAGTGAACTGTAACTGGGGACAGATATGGTATGAATACATAAACCAATATGGTGATTTAGGAACCAAAATGATATTAATAATAACTTTGCATCTGCTGAAGGTATGCTCTGTGCCAGGCACTATACTAGGCAGTCTGTATTCATTATTTCTGGCAAGTATTATTATTTCCATTTCGGAGTTGAGAAACTGAGGTTCAAAGTTTGTTAACTTGAGCAAGAGCTGGGATTCAAATTTAGGTCTGCCTCATTACAAAGACTGGGTGTTTTCCATGAACAGATTCGATATTTAGGTTCTGCATCTGTGAATTCCAAGCAGGATCAGAGATCACAGACATTTTCTCAAAACCTTTTACATACCCCCAAATTAGGAAGTCAGTACAGTGGAAATCCTTGGAACAATAGAAGCACCACAGCAATTGTGAATGGTTATGAGTGAAGCAGTATTTTGTAATAAAACTCCTAAGCCTTAATAAACCTAGAAATTGGGATAGGTCTCTGAATTCTCTGGGAAGCAGAAGGTGACTGTCAAAACTGCATGAATGAAGCCCTACAGACCTCCTGCTTTTTTCAAACCAAAAGCACAGACAAAACACCTCCAGGTCTATGTGCAGGTGGGGCTTGGTCCTTAAACCCAAATCAATCAGAACAACAAATATTTTCTGACAGATGCATCAGAAAAGAAGTAAACTTCTCAGAATAGGAGACTGGAAAAAAAAAAAAAAAACCAAACCCAAATAACTCACTAATTATTTTCTGATTAGCTGATTAGCTTGAAAAATAGGCTGCATTCAATACACATTAAAGAATTCACATGCAAAACACACAAAGAAAAATGTGTTGGTAGAGTGGAATGTTCACAAGTATTGATTTGTGGTTGATATCATAAAACCCAATTCCAGATTTCAATTAAATGTTGTTGACATTTAAACATTATATTCAACATTGTAAAATACGGGCTAAAACGTATGTTCATATCCATACAAATATGACAGCTTGACATTCAGACTGAAGGTATGTAATAGTGTTTCAAAAAAAAATGGGTGGTGCTATCATCAAGGATGTAAGTTTTTGAAATGTTGAACAAATTTTAGTAATGTTTCCAACAAAAATTTCTTTAAAAAAGGATAATCTTCCTCTGATTTTCACTGCAGTTGCTTTCCTAGAAAATTTATCATATAGTAAAACTGCAAAATCTATGATGTGTTGTATTTAGATATAAAATTAAGTTCTAGGCTAATGTAAATATAAACTGGCTTCTCATCTAAAAAAGGAATTTATTTTATCATAGATAAAGGCAACAGTTCTTTAGTTTTCAGCTTACCAAAGAGCCCTTCTATTTTACCTCACTTGGGTCTACTTGTCACTTGTATGGCCATATACTTTTTCTTGATAACATGTGCCACAGTTTGTAGGTCTATATTTATTCCTGTGATAGTGTGTTTAATATCTGTCTCTCTATGAGACTGTAGACCCCACAAGGGCAGGGACTATGTCTTGTTCATGTAGTAATGTACAGAAATGCCTGGCACAGAAGTTAAACATAGGGGATAATAAACATTCATTGAAGAACAAATAAACATACAAGTTTCATTAAATAAGATTTCTTAGGTTAGGCAGAGTAAACACAGGTTCTAGGAAGGATATTGTCTTTTTAGTAATACTTCCTAATTGGTGTAGGATTATCCCTGTATCTCTCCTACACAAGAAATATGGATTAAAGTGTCAACTGCAGGTAGACTGTGACTAGGGATTAAGACATTCACTTCTCTGTTCTTGACTAAGCCTGTATCTACCACCACTTACATGCCGGCAAGTCACACTGCAAAGGAATCAGTGGCTGCTCTTAATCAGATGAGGACAAAATCAGTCTTAAATAATTGCGTAAGGTAACTGTGCCATTTTTTGACCCTTAAGGCCAGGCCAAGATCAGATCCGGTAAACAACATTCATAAAGCTACCTGAACAAAGTGTGACATTCGCCCTTCCCACCCTCTTCCACCACCTACCCAGGAACTTGTCACAGTTGTCCAGAAACCTGTTCTGTTGCTGTTGTGCCACTAATGGTATATAAAAAGATTCATTTTATCTCTATTTCCAGCAAAGCTAATAAGTGAATTCAGGAGCCTGTAATGAATTATTTGCCCAGGACAGATACCAAACAGAGTCCTTTATTTTTCATATGCAGAAAAACAGATGATCAGCATGTAGAGCTTGGAGCATATAACACAAAAACCTTTTGGATGACATTCTCCAGGGAATCAACATTATTTGGGGACTTTGGCTGATCAGAGTACCTATATATCTTTTTTTGACAGCTTTGGGTGACCGCTTTTTAGAAGGGGTGCCCAGCACAATCCCACTGGGACAATTCACATAAACCTGACTCTATGGCTGGAAAAGGTGGGGAAAACTAGTAGCAGTTCTGCAAATGACATGGTTTATTCCAAACATGAGTTTGCTACTTCTTGAGGCTCCAAAAATGTCAGGGAATGGCTTTCCCTGTGATTAAGATACCAGTAGAGTAACTCAGAACTCTGAAATTTAAATTCTCCCTTCATTCTGGAGAAGTTACTACTGTGTAATCCCAAAATGATTATTCCAATTCTCTGTTTTTCTTTCTTTCTTTCTTTCTTTTTGACGGAGTCTTGCCCTGTCACCCAGGCTGGAGTGCGGTGGCACGATCTCGGCTAACTGCAACCTCTGCCTCCCGGGTTCAAGCGACTCTCATGCCTCAGCCTCCCGAGTAGCTGGGATTACAGGCACCTGCCACCATGCCTGGCTAATTTTTGTATTTTTAGTAGGGACGGGGTTGCACCATGTCGGCCAGGCTGGTTTCGAACTCCTGACCTCAGGTGATCCGTCCGCCTCGGCCTCCCAAAGTGCTGGGATTACAGGCATGAGCCATTGTGCCCGGCCTTGTTTCTTGGATTAGTCTGCTATCTGGGAGAATAATATTAATTTATCCGTAAGCTATTAGCTAATAATAAAATACTGAAGCATCTGCATACAATTAAAGAAGTTTATTTCTGAATAATTAGTCTGAATTTTCAGTTGGAATCTATACATATGTTCCCGTTTAATGAATTTCATCCTGAATAGTGATCTTTTGCAAGTTACTTTTAACAAAGTATAATCATATTTGACTTGTAATTAAGAAAATGAGATTTAGGATTTATCAAGTTTCTCTTTGAAAGAAAATTCCATTTTTCTATTGGATAATAATCTATTTACAATAAAGTTAACCAAAATCCCCCCAACCAATGCAAAGCAAACATTGATTGCGACTTGGTCTGGAAACCTTTCATTACAAATTTAGCCAGGTCATTTAAAAACTCTTATAGGTGCAAGGCACTATGAGAGTTTCTTGGCGGCCATCCCATGACATATTAGAGCATATTAAAATGAACTCACACTGAACATTAAATATAATTTAAACGTAGCTCTGAACATTGAGTTGAATGGCAGGTGACTGGTACCTTTTCCAGGTATTTAAACAGTGTTTTCCCAATTTTTCCATTTTCTTCTTTTATTTTGGAGCCAATAATTTTTGTTTGGGTCCCAAACGTTTTCTAGTCTTTTGGAAGAACTTGAGGTGGCAGACACTGAGTCTACAGAACCTAATGGATAAAACAGCCTTAGAAATTAGTTCTCGTTTTCTTCTTATTTTTGTAATCAGATAAGCTGTCAACTGAGATCTGACAACTGAACTCTGTTTTTTTAGTTCATGAAAAAGAGCCACGTGACTGGTTATTTTTCACCGTGTCAGTTAGCAGGTCTGATCCCTTGAGAAGGAAGAATTGATCTCTTAGGGATATAAAACCCTGCATGCCTTAACATCAATTATAAGTTGCTTCTCAATGTCAACCTGGGCGGCCATTTTTTTTCCTCAGTAAAAATAGGGAAAACATAAATCAATGTAACAAAATGGTTCCAATTTGATGGCATCTTGACATTTGCTGCCCTAATCACAACTAAGTGATCTAATTCCTAAATGAGAGAATTTTAAGGATTACTTAGGTCTAGATTTGTGTATAAAGCTCTAAGTAGAGTTGAGTTTGATCCTAGAGTTTCTCTACCATAATACTGCTTGGTTTTGCAAGAATTCTGGTGTGGTGATTACAGATCTAGCTTTTTGCTTAGTTAATCAAACCAGTATAGTTTCTTCGGCTAGAAGGAATTGATTCATCAAATCTGCAAGCTTTCCCAGCCAAACTCCAAGCTTCAGCTGGATTTCCACTTAACTGTATGGGGTAACAGATCCCAGGCGCCTTTGCTCATATACTTGGAGACCAACTTCGCCAAACTACCCATGCGACTCATGCCTCTGAATGTCCAAAGTCACAGGCCTTGCATTTTCTGTTGAAGATAATCTGCTTTGCTAAAAGAAACTCCTGAGTGTAACGCACAGGTTTTACTTAAAAGTCCAGCTACAAACCTTCAATTTACAGTTCTAGGGACACCGAACGCCTGATAATAAACTGGTCTCTAAAGTTATACCATCAGAATGAGTCTGAATTCACCGAGTGGAAGGAATAGTAATGCTGCCCTTAGACTTTAGCCTAGGGGCTGAGGGAGGTTTCACTGGAAGAGAGGTAAAAGAGAAAAAGGAGGCTGGAGAGAATATGGGTCCAAATCTCACTCCCCATTTTGAGCCCTTTCAACATCTCCATGGAAACCCTAACAAAGGGTCTGGAAAGAAACCTGATCCTGGTGCAAGTCTGTTGGGGAGGGAAAGCAGGAGTGGAGTCTGGGAGGAGGAGATGAAAAGTGGCCTCCATTTAACCATTGATTCATTCATTCAGTCATTCAACAAATGGTCGAGAACATACTAGGTTCCAGGCTCTGTGTCACGCAGTTGACTTAACTGGCCCCTAAGGATGAGGCTTTCCATCTTTCCCTGGGACAAGGCTCGGCTGTCTCCTGGCGGGGAGGAGGGCTCCTCTGCACCTCCCTGGTAGCCAAGCGGCCACTCCCAAAGGGGCCACGACCAACCAGGGCCCTCTCCGCCCACGAGGACGCCAAGCGGACCGCGCCGCCCTGAGCCCAGCTCTCAGCCCACACTCTGCAGGACCCCGCAGAAGGGGCGGGCCGGGAGCAGAGAGGCCGGACCCTGCGCCGCTACCCGCCCGGCCCCGCCCCCACCCCGCCCGGCTGCCCGGCTTGGCCCGGCGGGCGCCGACCCCGCCTTACCAGGGTTTTGGCTACGTTCCCCCTCTGGGTGATGTTTTTGCTGTGCTTCTCGTTAGCCATCCGGATCCGCTGTTTGGCCACCATGGCTTGGGCGCTCTGAAATGCTCCCACCTACAAGGATCCCCCACGTTAGCTCCTGCGACAGGGCCGAGCGCGTCCCGCCGAGGCCCCCGCGGCCCACCTGGGCGCTGCAGGTGGCAAGGCGCGGCCCGGAGCCACGCGCACCCCGCTCCCCGAGCCCCGGCGAGCCGGCTCCAGAGAGAGGCCGCAGCCCGGACGGAAGTAATCTCTCATCTCAGGAAACCCTCTCCGACTTCCTCGCCATCCTTCCGGTCCCCGCAACTACCTACCCCGCGCGGCCACCGAGGCAGGCGCGGCCGCGCGTCCTCCCGCGCCGACGGGCCGAAGCGCAGCGCGCAGAGCTGGGGCCCTGCAGTGTCGCGGTCCTGCAGCCGAACGCTGCGGGGCCGAAGGTTCGGGCGACCAAGGCGTTTGTGAGCGCGTAGGGGACAGGGGCGCGGCCCCTCCTGAGTTTGTCGGCGGGGGACCCACCCTAGGCCCGGGGAAGGGATGGGAGCGGCCGCACTTCAGGCCAGGCCGCGCGGTCTCCCCTGCACCGCCGCCCCTGGACGAGGGCTGGACTCAAGGCGGTGGTCAGGGACTTCAGAACACAAGTAGAACCAGGCCAGGGCAGGGCCCGCGCTGCCCGGGTATGGCCCACTAAACGAACTTTCTCTTTAAGGGTCTGGGGAAGGGCCCCGCGCTGGGGGACCCCACTGCAGAACTTTTCGTGAGGGCTGCAAGGAGGGCTGCTTTGTAAAATAGAGGAGACATGAAGCGGGATCCTCAGAGGGTTGGGGATGGCGCCGTGAGGATGGAGTTGGGACAGGCCTTTTTGCTTTGGTGGTTATAGGGGTTACATTGGAAGATGGGCCAACGGCAGAGCGGAGCATGCAGGAAAGAGGAAAAGGCCTTGGACCTGCAGCCCAGGTCGGATTTGGTGGTTACTGTCTAAATCTGAAGCTTTGGCCTGCCTTGACTCCCCACTCACCCAGGGCAGCTTGGACCTCTCTCTAGCCACCCTTGTCCCGAGGGGTCTGAGTGTCTCCCAGAATAAACCGAGCATTTTCTGCAGTGGAAGGATAAAAATGGAAGCGTTTACGCGCCTCCCAGACACTGGTATTAGGGCTCAAGAGCTCTACAGGTTGCCTAGGGAGGTAGGGGTGGAAGGGGTTCAGTTCCTCACTTTTCCATATGCTGAACACATTGGAATTAGCTCTTCGCAGCTCAGAATAGTGGAGGAGAAGAGGAGACATTCAGCCTGGGCGATCTGGGGCAGTGGAAAGTGGGGATACAGGGTCGGGGTGAAGGCAAGCAGCAGCACCCCCAGCATGGGGAAGAAGAGCTGTGGCCTGAGGCTGGCTCTGGCCTCTGCATCTCTAGGCCTTCTCTTGCAGCGGGTGGGTGGCTGGGTTTCCAGGGAATTTTGTATGAGTAAAATTTTCCCATGTCATTGGAGAGTTAGGGAGAGCTCCTCTCTTTCGGGACCTTTTTCCAAGCAGGTCCCCCTCACCCCGCTACAGGCTTCTTATCACTCAGGCTTCAATAAAGGCCATTCTGGGGGCTGCTTGCTGTAACCTAGAAGACAGAATTACCTAGGATCATTAGTAGGGTCATTTTTTTTTTTCCTACTCTGCAGGCCAATTAATTTGAAACAACCTTCCATGGCCTTTTAGCTGTTAGCATCACCACCGTAGTAACAAGCCCATAAACCCAGTCTGCCCCGCTCTAGTCCCATGTTTTTAATAACTGCTGGCTCTTTTTTAAGGGGTTGGGTGGGAGGATTCCTACCTCAGTGATCCCTGCTGAGCCTGGCTGTTGTCTATGGTCCAGAAGGTTCCTTTACCTAACTCACTCCTCTCAGATCACGTCCAAATGCCAGGGCAGGAGACCGACCTGGGTCCTCACCAGGTAAGTAGAGGCCTAGCTCTGAGCGACATTAAGGAAAAGATACAGAGACTGTTTTCTCTTTGGGTCTCCACATTCACTGAGTACAGTTAAGAAGTGTTCTTAACTGAGCTTTTGGGGAAAAATGTTCTTTACCCTTGACTACTTTTTCCTGCTATGCTTCACTTTTCCGTCATTTTAAATTAGTTTGTTTTAATTATGAATAGACTGCATACACACAGCAAATAGTCAAACAGAAATAGGATAGAAAATGAAAAGTAAAGGTCTCTCTTTCCTTGCCACCCTCCCCAAAAAGTTCCCACGGTTCCTAGGTTGCCCTTCCAGTGCTTTCTATACACATACAAGACTATTTGTATATTCCCTTATAAAAAAATGGAATAGTAGTAAGCAAATTGTCCTGCCACATACTCTTCTAATTTAATGTATCAACATTATCATATCACTTATATATGATCTTTCTTGTAGTTGCGTTACATCTCGTAGTATGATTATACAGTAATATATTGAACTGATATAACCATGGATGATTATTTCCAGTTTTTTTGTGTGTGGTTGCCAACAATGCTTCAGTGAATATCCCTGTACATAGATCAGTATGTACTTGTGCAGGTACATCTGTGTGTGCTATTGTGAAATACATATTTGATTGTAGTCCCTGTTTCCTGACCTAAAGCTCTTAAATTCCTTGGAATTTCCAGAGTGATGAAAATACCTTTTGTATGCTAATAAGATGGTTGGTGACTTGGAGCCCCCAGATAGCTTCAGGATGGGGGCTGGTCACCAGAAAGATCAAGGCAGGATTAGAAGGTTGGGACTTTTAGTCCCACCCCCTCCCCCCAAACCTCCACAGAGAGGAGAGGAACTGAAGGTTAAGTTGAACACCAATGACCAATGATGTTATCAATCAGACATATGCAATGAAGCCTGTATAAAAGCCCAGAGGACAGGGTTTGTTGAGTTCTGGAGAGCAGAACATCAGGTTCCTAGACGGTGGCGTGCCCAGAGAGGATGTGGAAGCGCCACAGCCCTTCCCATATTTCTTGCCCTGTGCATCTCTTCCATCTCGCTGTTCATCTATATGCTTTGTAATATCCTTGGTCATAAATGGGCAAACAGAAGTAAAGTGTTTCACTGAGTCTGTGATCCACTCTAGCAAATTAATCCAAACAAGGAGTGGGTCGGGGGAATTCCAGTTTATAGCTGGGCAGTCAGAGGTACAGGAGACAACCTACTACCTGGGATTGGCATCTGAAACGGGGGGCGGTCTCATAGGATCAAACCCTGAGCCCCTGCTATTTCCAGGTACGTAGCGCCAGAATTGCATTGAATTACAGGCCACCCAGCTGGTGTCTGTTGCAGAATTGCTTGGTGTATGGGGAAACATCCCCCACACATCTGGTGTTAAAAGTGTGCTGGCTGTGTGAGAGTGGGAGACAACACTTTGGTTTCTCCTATATCGCAATACTGGAATTAGATTCCTGGATGTGAAATTGCTGCAACTTTTTATGTCCTTGGTTGGATGAAGAAGCCTCGTGCTTTGACCTCCACTTTACCTACTCACACCCCTGCTTTTGTCCTCTGCAGTCAGGCCAGCTCCTCTGCAGGACTCAGTCCTGTTTATTGCCTTGAGGGTCACCATCATGGACCAAGCAGTTTCCCAGCGTGGATCCTGGCCCTTCCTATACTCAGCCTCCAAACCCTTCTGTGGGGAGCTGGGGCTAAAGTCTATAAGCTGTGTTCCTGAGTCACTACTAGACTAGGAAGGAGCAAAGCATGGAGTTGTCTTGCTCTTTCAAGGACTCAGGAGGGGAAAATGGCAACTTGGTTAAGGAGAAGTTCCTCTGAGTTCATCTATGGTGGCAGCACGGAGTTTTGTGATATGCCACTAGCATGCAGTGCTCAACCACAACTTTTAAAATTGTTATGGGCAAAGTACCAGGAAACTGCTAACTGGTTAAAATTTAATTTTGGCTGGTAAAATTTTCAGCCTTTATTTTTTTATTTTTGTTTTTGACAGAGTCTGGAGTGCAGTGATATAATCTTGGCTCACTGTAACCTCTGCCTCCCGGGTTCAAGCAATCCTCCTGCCTCAGCCTGCTGAGTAACTGGGACTACAGGCGTGCACCACCATGCCCAGCTAATTTTTGTATTTTTAGCAGAGACGGGGGTTCACCATATTGGCCAGGGTGGTCTCGAACTCCTGTCTTCAAGTGATCTGCCCACCTAAGCCTCCCAAAATGCAGGTATTACAAGTGTGAGCCACCATGCCCAGCCAATTTTCAGCCTGTAGAGCAAGAATTCCTAACAAGCCTATGCCCATTAATCATGAATGTGCCCCACTTAGGGCACTGGATGTGTGGCTGTACAGACTGAGTTTTACCCGTCTTTATAGATGATGCTACACTATTAAACTGTGATGCACTGGACCTCTCTCATTTTTCTGTGGCTGACCAGCATGCAGACATTCTTGATGTTTGGGGCACTCCATCAACTGTGAGAGTCTTAGGACCTTCTTTCCCACCATGAAGCATAAGGGGGCCAGATACTTGGTCTCCCAACCCCTCACAGCTAGGGTGGCTTGTGATCTGGCCAATGAGATTCTCCTTTTGGGAACTGTGAATCTTGATCAAATGGTGCAAAGACAGAGACACGTTAAACTTCATCTTCGTGGTCGGGTTTCTAGAGACTGGTAGTACCTAGCAGTCACGGTGGAACCAGTGATGGTATCCTTTTTATTCCGTGGTACCTGAAATCCTTACAATAAATTCTTCCACTTCAATCAGCCAGAGTGAGTTTGTCTTATTTACAGCCAAGAACTCTGACTCATGTACATGAAAACAAACACAAAACCAGAATGTCTTCCTTTGTCATTTCCCCTTCCAGATCTGGAGTGACTGTCATGTCACTTGAAGCTTTCACACATTGTTAGCTAGTGGCCTCTCTTCACCTTATCTCACTAAGGGGAACTGAGTATAGAGGCCTTGGTGACAGGTGCTGTGGGTGGCTGGTCTCAATTATGGTTGGGAGTGGTTGACAGGCACACCCTGTGTAAATAAAACCAGCAGATCACCGACACTTCAAATGAATGCTTTCTTCTTTTTCCAAACCATTTTCAGTACTGCTAGAGAAGAGGAAAATTTGGCAAATCTCAAATCATCTCCTTTTGTACATGTTATTTACATTCTGGTGGAAATGTTCATGAAGATGTCTCAATAGTGGGCAGAGAAAAACAAGAAAGCTGACAGCAAATGTTATCTGCCACATGCATTGGAGTCAACTCAATGCACTAGATTATGATTTTATGGAATCGTTATGTTGTAACTGGAAGGAAACCCAGAGAGTCATTTATTCATTTGTTTAGTGTTTATTGAGTGTCTGCTATATACCAGACACTATTTTAGACGCTGAGAATTCAATGGTTGCTAGAAGAGTTTCTGCTTTAGAGAGCTCTAAGTTTTGTGGACAGGACAAGTAAATGTTGTGAGATTGTCCAAATTTCACAAATGAGTAAAAGCCTCAGAATTGCAAAGGGAATTGTAGCAGACCTAAAAGCAGAATTGTGGCCTCCTGACTTCTCATTTTTCCCAAAAGAAGCTTTACTAGCTAAACTTGAATGGGAGCCAGGGTAACAGGGCACCCTCATGGCTGAGCTTTGGAGCAGCTTCTACAAGCACAGGAAATAAATCTCTCTCTCTCTCTCTCTCTCTCAGCTTACACATGCACAGAAAATAAATCTCCTCTCTCTGTCTCTCTCTCTCTCTCTCTTTCTCCCTCACCCCATATCCCCTGCACCCGCACCCCCCACCCCCAAACACACACACTGCAGAACAAAGATAAACTATGTTTCAGATCTCAAAGGCTTGAACTTTGGTCCACAAAGTGGTGGCACAAGACAGACTTTATGCATTATGATAGCTATGTAATTCCTTGACCCTGGAGGTGATCAGATTAAGTTTTAAAATGCAAGATGTGATCACCCATCTTAAGTCTGTAATTGCCTGGCCACATCTGTTATTAATAGCAGTAAAACCATTATATCCCGAAGGGAAAAAAACACACCCTGCTACAGTACTTTCCCTAATGACCTCCCATGGCGATTCACTCACAACTGAAGAGAAGAGAGATGCTTCCACATGTTTGAGCCCAAGCTGTGGCCATGTGCCTGCTAAAATTTCATGTTATTTCAGGATAAAGCCACTTTGTTTCTGTTCAATCAGGTGCATGTTTTTAATGACTGGAAGAGTTTCTTGGTAGGGCAGGAATAACACCAGTAATCATATCTAGCATTTCCTAAACACCTACTGAGGGCCAGACACTTCTCCTGTACTTTCTCACTTCTTACCACAGCCCTATAAATGTACATGCATTGTGGAAACAGACACATCTTCCTGACTCTTCCACTTGTTAGTCTGATGATAAAAGTTTTCTTCCTGTCCAGGTGTGGTGGCTCACCTGTAACTCCAGTGATTTGGGAGGCTGAAGCAGGAGGATCTTTGAGGCCAGAATTCGAGAACAGCCTGTACAACATAATGAGACCCTGTCTGTACACAAAATTTAAAAAAGTTAGCCAGGCATGGTGGTACATGCCTCTAGTCCCAGCTACTTGGGAAGAGGGAGGTGGGAGGGAGGCTGAGGTGGGAGGATTACTTGAATCTAGGAGTTTCAAGCGACAGCGAGTTATGATTGCACCATGGCACTCCAGCCTGGGTAATACAGCAAGACTTTGTCTCCAAAAATAAAAATAAAAAATCTCTTTTCTTGTCTATAAAATGGGGATGATAGCAAAACTAATCAGGGTCGTTTTGAGACTGGATAAAATAATCCACATTAAAAGCACTAAGCACACAGCCTGTACCCATGCTAGTTACTTAATAAATATCAGCGACCACTATTAGGCTCATTTCCATTTTACCAATGAGAAAACAGATTGACAGAAGTTACAGAGCTTGCCCAAGGAAGGTCCAAACAAATGAGCCATAGTCCTGCCCTCAAGTTGTTTGGAGTCTATTTGAGGCACTCAAACATACTGGGTGCTGTAGGCTCAGATAAGCACCAGGAGTCACTGAAGTGGGAGACAGGACATGGGGACAAAGCTTTTCAGGTCATTTTTATCTTGTTAATTATTCTAAAATTCCAGGGTGGGGGGTGAGGAAATTCAAGCATTACCATACCAAAGGGATATAGAGAAAAGTAGATTCCCGTTATCCCTGACACTAAATTCAAAGCAACCTCTGTTACTACTTCTGCAAGCGTCTATGTATATTCAAGCACACATGCATAATATATTTGTGATACATGTGCTTATATTATGTGTTTATTTGTGTATCATATATTTTTAAAAACTTTTTATTTTTTTAAAAGCTCATTTGTGTATTTTTTTAAAAGTTCTTTTAATCCCTTTAAAAATCTCAATGGTATCATGTTATTCATTACAACCTGCACCATATTTTTGCCTTTTTTTTTTTTCAGTTAATAATACTTCATAAAGATTGATCCAGGGCAGGCACGATGGCTCATGCTGAGAGGCCAAGGCAGACAGATCACGAGGTCAGGAGTTCGAGACCAGCCTGTCCAACGTGGTGAAACCCCATCTCTACTAAAAATACAAAAATTAGCTGGGCATGGTGGAGAGCACCTGTATTCCCAGCTACCTGGGAGGCTGAGGCAGGAGAATTGCTTGAATCTGGGAGGTGGAGGTTGCAGTGAGCCGAGATCGCACCACTGCACTCCAGCCTGGGCGACAGAGCAAGACTCTGTCTCAGAAAAAACAAAAAAGATTGATCCATATCATTACATTTAGATCTATTTCATTCTTTAAAAATGACCGCATGGTGTTGCATTGTGTGGTGATACTGTAATTGATTCAACCAATTCCCTATGGATGAGTATTTAGGTTGTTGTAGTTTTTCGCTGCTATAAACCGACAGATAGCCTTGTATATGTGTTTTTGCAAACACACATGTGTATGTCTATTGGAGGACTTCTTAGAAGTGTAATTCACTGGGTCAAAAGTTATGTGCATAGAAGTGACTGACATTGCCAAATTGTCCTCACTTTCTCCAATTGAGAGGTTTATCACTTTATATTCCCTCCATAATGTTTATGAGTATGTTCAGGCTAGTTTTATATATATATATAGAGTTACGTGACATTGGACAAGCAATTCTAAGTAGCATTACTTCTTTCTATTTATGGGCTTTACTAGTTTGATTGAGTGCTACGTTTATGAGGCCAAGGTCATGAATTTGTGTACTAAGTAGTCAATTCGTTTGCCATATCCTTATCAAGGTCACTTCTTTCCACAGTCTGTAAGTCACAATAGGAATCAGAAGAGAAAATGAACAGATAGGCATTGCACTGGTAGCTTCTTCCTACACCATGTGTATTCATCATGGTATCCCCAGAGGCTAGCATCATGACGTAAAGACTGAAAGGATTAGGGGGATTCAGGTATTGATTACACTAAATATCTGTTCAGTGGTTTATATAATTTGCGTTTCATTCATTTAGAGAACATGTCAACTTGTGTTAGATACACAAGGCAAGTTCATACTCCAAGCTGTGACACAGCCATCTAAAATAGGTAATTTAAGCCCTCATTTAATTGGCTATGTTATTTTCCTTTGGTCTAAATGAAAAGTTAGATTACCATTTTAAATACACGAACATACATGTTTAATATACTCCATTAACTTATTCCTCATCATAGTTTTTTTTTAAATCTCTGTCACATCAAATTTAAATAAAAGTCCACTCCTTTGCAATAACTTCATCACCAGGTTACTCAGAAGAAGCTATGCAGATGCTCAGAGTGCCACCAGCCTTTCTGAACATCAGCACATTAAACCTAGGATCCCTGCTTCTAAAAATTCTGGAAACCTGTCACATCCAATATGCTTTAAGAGGGTTTTGTAAAGAGCTTATTGTCAGTGATGTATGTGGATTAGTAAACCATATGCAGGAAGCCCAGATGTTTTCAGGGACCTGTTTGCACCAAGACCACAGCAACTTATTACTCAC